TTTCCCGTTGAAATCTGTTCCTCATGGGGGAAACCGACTTTTGCCGTTGTGCCTCTCGTTGTTTTTTCTTTTGTTCCTCCATTTCCTTTCGCTTTTTCGCCTCTTCTTCGCGTTGTTGTCTGACTTCGTCCATCTTTTGCCGAGCCTTGCGTTTTTCTTCTTCAATGATGGCTTCCGTCTTGGCTTGCTTTTCCTTGCGCTGCTTCATCTTTTCTTCCTTTTTCTTTTTCTCCTCGATTTTCTTGGCATCTTCCTCTGACTTTCGGGCTTCCATCTTCTTCTTGTACTTTGCAAGACGCTCTTGCATCTTGCGTTCTGCCTCGGTAATCTCGGCGGGTGTCGGCATGGTGATGGTGTTTTGTGGGCTAAGCTGCAAGTGGATTGAATGGCTCTGGAAGAGAGGAAATGAGAGTAAATGCTTTTCTAGCCTCTGCTGCAAACGAGCTATGAGATGCCTAACTCCTTGAACTGACGATCTTGTACAGTAGCTGACTATCTAGAGCTACCTTGCTTAGACGGCGTGGGAAACAGCCAAAGAATTGGCTTTTGGAAGAACGCTTTTGGATTCAAAGATCCAAAACGGCTACAGGAAGCGTCTTTGATTGGATCTTCTATCCGACAAAGCAAGGGCTTTTCCAGAAAGTTAGCTATGGGTTCAACTGCTGCGAGTTATTCTTCTGTCGGGAGATGCACAGCCTTGCTTTGTTCCAGATGAAGTACTGGTATCCGTGCATTGCCATAGAGCACACTCGGACACGAGCTTCCCAGCAAGTTGGTTGTCGTTGTCGTGGGTGACAAGAACCGCAATCTTGATGCCTTGGTCGCGGATCCTTGGTGACTACACTGGGTCCCGCTATCCTTTCAGGAGTCATCATGCAAATGACTGTTTGTTGCCAGCCTAGCCAGCTTATTGTCTGGTCAGTGTCAGCATGGACAAGATAGACCGTCTTGTTGCCGTCTTGGCTTGGCCTGGCTGGGTCATACGGTACGGTACACTGCCAGTGGAACAACAGTGGCTGACAGGAGGCCTCCAAGAGATAGAGCTAGCTATTCAGCGGGAGATTTTCTTTGCTTCTTCTACTGTTGCCCGCGCAAGGAAAAACTAAGGAATAGAACGAAGAGGACTGGGGTGTGTGGTACAACTACATGTAGAATATCAATAATGTTGTATTGCACTCATTTTCTCCAATGAAACCCTTGGTTGTTGCCCTCCCCCCTGCAACCATTTCAACTTTGTCGCCTCAGTTACTTTTTGCTATCGTATGACCTCAGGTTTTGCCCTACATTCAGAAGTTAGATTCACTGCCTTTTGGCCTCCTGTATGTTGTAGATAACCTTCAAGTTTGGCCTTTTCGTGTTGTGTAGCAAGGCACCAGTGCCATATGTTGAAAAAACCATTGAACATTCGTTGCTCAAGTAAAGACCGGGTAGCTTGTACTGAAAGAAAACCCAACAAAATGTCTAGACCCCTACTCCAGGACCTGGAAGAGGCCTAAGTCCAAGACCTTCACCTGGCCCTCCTCCTCCACAAACCCCTGGACTCACTCCAGGGCCCAAACACGGCTCCACAGATCTCACTCCTGACCCAAACTGGACCTACCTCACGACCTACACACACACAGACCAAGCTCAGGATCTGCAACAAGGCGCAGTAACAGCAAACAATGATGTGATGAAGGGCATGCCCACCAAAATTGTGTTGTGTATTGCTCAAGTGAAATGAACCCTTCAGTCAGTGATTTCTGACAGGCCCTGGAGCAAGTCCTGGTGTTTGGTCAAGAGTAGACCCAGGTGAAGGTCCTGGAGCTAACCCTGATGATTCTGGTGCTCCTCTGGGAGTGGGGCCTGCATCAGATCCTGGAGTGAGACCAGGATTAGATCCAGGTCAAGGTCCTGGTGTTGCTGTGGATTGGGCCCTGGTGGCGGACCAGGAGTACTGGTACATCTTGAAGTGGGGCCAAGAGAAGGTCCTGGTTGATTCTGAAGCAAAGCGGGGCGTGAAGAGGGACCTGGAATGAGACCTGGGATAGGTGGGCATGGAGTAGATACAGTGAAGGTCCCGGTGCTGGACCTGGAGTGAGTACGACTGTACGCCCTGGAGTTGGGCCAGGAGAAGGTCCGGTTGTAGTTCTGGGGTCTTGGTGATCATGGACCTGGAGGTGACCAGGAGTGGATCCAGGTGAAGGTCGTTGTGTTGATCGGGAGTGTTCCACTGTGAGCGGGGCTTGGTGGCAGGAGAAGACAGGCGGCCGAAGGTGATGGACCTGGGAGTGTGCCCTGGCGATGGACCTGGGGTAGGTTCATGTAGGCAGGTCGTGATGCGGGTTCCAGAGCATGATATATTGTCGCTTAGGGAATTGGCATGGCTGGGAAGATCATGGGCCAGCGCAAGTTACCCCAGAGGCACTCCTCGTCACCCAGTTGACGAAAGCCCCGAAGAACAACAGAAGCAAAGAAAGTGAATGGGCTGCAGCAATGTCATGAGCTGTCCCGGGGGCTGCCAGCATTTGAGCACGTCAGCCGTATCGCAATCAAAAAGTAGCGAACAGCGTTCCTCGATGGATCAAAGGAAGAGCAGGGAGCGCTTGCTGAAATAGGGAACGAAGGGACATCCAGGCTAAGTGAAGGGAGAAACACGGCGCCTCTACCAACAAACTGGTGCATGGCTGCATGCATGCACAATGCTAAGCTTCATGTTGTGGTTCCGTAGTAGATCAACCCCGGAGACCAAGAAAAACAATCTAATGGCAGTACGGTAAAAGTTCTCGGTTTGGCAGATTAGATTTGATGGGGCTGTCGAAAATGAGGCGTACTAACGATCCAAAGCTGGAGCATGTGTGTAATCCAAACATGACATCGTATGTTGTCCCGTGCTGGCTACTCGTCCGAGTATCCACGGCGATGCCGCTACGGATGCTACTACTGTACCAGGTACCTCAGTAGTGTCCCCGAAGACCTACCATCAATTTTGCTGTGTAGCTGAAACATATGAGTGATCAATCCGGAACATTGGAAGCATCGGTGGACCAGTGTTGATACAGCACTTCCTTCACACTTCAGAGCTGCGAGAAGTGTCTTCGAAAAGAAAACTGCTTGGAACTGCAAGAGGTGGCAATAGATCGAGTTGCAGATCGTAAAACGCTAAATCGGAGCTTGATGCCTCGGAGTAAACTCCAATGTGTAAAATTACATGAAAAGGAAAGCGTCTGAGAGCAATGGACCAGTGATCAGTCAGTGATGTCCTCCAAGTAAACTCTAATGTGTAAAATAATTACATGAAAAGGAAAGCGTCTTAGTGCAACCAGTGACCGCTACTAGTACCGGTACTGTAGACTCCGCTACAGAATTCCTGTGCACTGTGCAGTGTTTTGTAGCTGTTTTGTGCTGCTTTCACAGATTTACAAACACAAGGTCTTTACAAGTGTCGACTGAGAAGAAGCAAATGGCCTGGTAGTGAATTGTGAAGTAAGTGTGAACGAACACCAATATTGACTCCTGCAACAGGGCTTGCAAGGGGGTACAATGTACTGTATTGTTTTACGAAGTATCCGCACTGAAACCAACAGCGAAAGCTCCTCGAACAATACATGTACTCATTGGAGCTTTTGATGAAGCTGAAACATTCGCCGATGGCTTCAAAACGGTCTTGCAAGTTACTGCAGCCAGCAATCAGTAGCCAGCAATTCAAAAATCAAGATGACTTCGGTGATCTTCCGCATCGTTTTGTTTCTTGGAGTTCAGATTGAAAGCAAGTCTAAAAATTGCCACCGACGCGTTGGCATCGAGCAAGACTACTGTTCGAACGAATCATCAACACCCGCCAAATAAATGTTGGCCCATCCATGTACCGGTAGAGGGTGATGATGAGAAGAGATACTCTTCCTAGGCTACCGGTATTGCAACGTTCTTGCGGTCAAGTTGGAAGTCTGAAGTCTGAAGTCTGATGAAAGAACATGCAGTTATAATCAATACGTGAAGGGGCAAGGAGCATTGAGAACCAACTACTAGCTAGGCGCAGCGGTGCAGCTACATGGTACCTGGTAGCTGGTAGCACTTCGGGCTTCGGGTTGTTGGTCCGAGGTCCGTGTCTTCTGGTCGCTCCTAAGTCTGTTCGACACCTGCTCTGTGAACGATCTTCTACCTTCTACCAGGCTGCTACCGCTCTGCAGTTCTTATGGTTAGCTACTGGTATGCATACTAGTAAGCTTATCCATAGCGCCACAAAGCAGAAGCAAGTCCCTCTTCAAGCTTGACGTCTCACATTTCAGCAGCAACTGGTATCCAGAGCATTAAATCAAAGCTGCATTGATACATTGATACGGTGCCTCATACCTGGTACCGGTCAAATCACTTATAGCTACCAGGTAGCTACGGTAGCTAGCTAGTACCACCAAATCATCCAAGTGTGTAGGGCAGGGTGCAGCATTCGATGTGGGAATCAAGTGTGAAAGAGAGCTGAAAGAGATGCTGCCTCCAAGAGAAAGTCCTCCGTCTGCAGTCTCAAATAATTAATGGGTGGTTGCAGCTGTCAGAGTACTGTAAGTAAAAGTTACGGAACGATGACTTGCATTTTGGGGTTAGACTGCTCAGTTCTCCCTTGTGCGCTCCATAAGCACAAAAACCATTGAATGTTTATGGAAAGATCGAAAGGCTTCTGCGTTTGAAGTTCACGAAAGCCAGCCTTCCGAAACGATGCATTTCGAGAGGATGGGGTACGATGTATTTCTGGGAAACCTTGTGAGCAATCGCGACCTTGGCCAGGCCAGCTAGACAAGTCACTTTCAACATCTTTCAGCCTCGATTGTGGAGGCAACATCGGATACCTCACCACTTGGCTTGTTTGTTGCTGAGTACGTAGTTGAAACCGGATCCTCAAGAGAAAGGAGAAGTCCAGAATGACGCGCTGTGATGCTTAGCAGAAGACAATTGGCTGTACCGGTACCCTTCTTTTGCTTGGGGTTGTACTAGTACAAGAGATTGCAATTGGTTCGGACTGAGACTCGGGATGTATGTTTGTTGATAGCTAAAAAGCAAGCTGTGCTCTGTGTGCTGCATGTGACGGGCTACCGCCCGGTATTAGTCTATGGCTTCCACAGTTCTGCTACGGCAGTGTTGGTCACTGCTGAGAACTCAAGGTGTTGGGAGGACAATTAAAATGTTGATGCTGTTGCTGCACAGCCCTTGCATGTAGCCTACTATTCTACTAGCTAGTGGCCAGTCTGGATCTTCCAGGGGTAGTATCGACATGATACCGGTAGCCAGCTTTTAGCTAATAGCTCCCAGAAAGCAGCAAAAGGTTCAGGCTGCCGGGTTTGGTTGTAGTCAGCTGCGGCATTGTGTGAACGTGGGGTGCGAGGACTCTCTGGAGCTGTGTAGATTGAATGATGAATCGAATCGAATCATTCGGTGGTGCTGCTCTGCCTCTCTGCCTCTCTGCCATGGATACAATTCATGGTTGCGGGCTACCGGTACTCCTATGCATACTGGTACTGGTACCTGCCTTGCTAGTATACATGTACCGGTACCTTGTCGACCCTGCCAACTGCGAACCTATGTTGTAATGAAAGCTATTTTACTGGTACCGGTAGCCAGTTATTACTACCGGTATGCATGCCGGTATGTAGCACGATTGTACGCGGAAGTCCCACCACCATGCAACATAATACAGTATAATATGCATGATGAAACATCGACTCCCGAGACCAGTAAAGCGCGTCAAGTACATGTATTCCTCTTCTCCCTGATACTTCCGTGCACGGTTGTCTGTTACTTAAGGACTTGCCATGTGCTTTGCTTTCTCACACTGTTTTGTCCAACCCACAGAAGTCAATTGAAGAGAGAATCAAGGCTTAAATGAGTCCCCATTGAGAAGTTCTCTGATCCACCTATAAATCTAACGCTGAGCCCGCTGCGCTACAAGCTCTACGCTGCTTGGCCGTAAGGCTTGGTACCAAAGGGTACGTCTGTGCACAGTTTTTCGTTTATGTTCCAGGTACACAAGATGACTGGGGGTTGTAGAAAGTGCTTAGCAAAAACTCTCCAGAATGCACAGCGAGAGGTCAGCAGTCTGTCAGTACGACCGTCGTGTAGAATTCTACTGACCGTTGTGTGACCATTGGGATTTGTGGTTCCTTGCGCATCGGACTGTAGGCCAGCCAGGGCCTAGAGAAATTTTGAGCTCTCTTTTTTCTCTTTTTTACTAGTAAAAAGCTAGCAAGGTGATCCTCTGAGGGCTCTCCAAGAAGCATTGAGCAAAGCAGCACAAAACTGCTTAGCAACCACAACGGGTCTACTACTCGGCATCTCTCAACATTACATAAAACCAACACAACCCAATTTTGCTGCATAGATATCACACTACTCGGCAGTTGCTCAACTACAACCATGATGCACTCCAATACTCTCAACTACGAGCCCGCAAGCGGCAGCAGCAGCAGCAGTCCCAACACCAGAATAGCACGGACTTCCCTGGTTCTCTCCTGGAATGGCGAAGCACACGATCTCTCCATTCTGTGCTGGAAGACCCAATGCTCATCTCAAAGTGTTCTCTACCCAAGCAAACGCCAAGCACGACAACTTCCAGAAATCGATGAACAACACGCACTGAAACTATGGGAACCCATTCCACGATCAGAAGCTCCGTTCCGACGATCCTACACTGCCGACGCCGCCATGAGCAGCAGCAGCAGTTCGCACTCGTCTTCTCGTCAACAAAGCCCATCCGCACCCGGTCCTCTCTCCCCTTGTCCTTTTCCCACAATGTCTTCTTCATCACAACCACAAGAAGAAGAAGATGAACCGTCACCACGACCATTCGACATGCAAAACATCAGTCCTTGCAGCAGTCCAGCACCCACACCCAGCAATAACAACAACAACAACAACAGCCGTCAGAACCTGAACCAACCAGGACCTCGCCCCAAGGTGGACTACAAGCGTCTGTACCACCCCCAAGGCGAAGAAGGAGAAGACTTGAACGACAGCCGCCGCAGTCTAAACTCGGCCAACTCCAGTCGCCATATCAGTTTCCAAGAACAACAACTGCAGAGGACATTGGAAGAAGAACGCCGCATCAACAGCGACGGCAAGGGCTGCATGTACCATGAAGAACCAGTCGAGCCTTCGTACCATTCTCCCATGGAACCCTCCTATCCCATGCCGTCTCCGGTCGAACCTTCCTATCCCATGCCCTGCCCTTTCGACATGCCACAACAACAAGAAGAGCAACCGGTTTACGAACCAGAACCCATCATGGAAAAGCAGCCCTACAAGAGCAGCGAGAAGGAATCCTACCGTTGCGACCGTCGTCAACGATCTCCGTCTCCTCCTCTTCCCGCTGCCGCTTCTGGCAGCAAGACGGTCATGGAGATTGCTCCCAACATGTTTGTCCCCTACAAGGGATCGCACGAGACTTGGGAAGCCGTCCAAATGGGCCACTTTACCGTCACGACGTGCTTTGCCTGCGCATTGCAATTGGTCGTCATTGACACGGCCGAATTCTTGGTCTGCCCCGATTGCCACACCGTCTCGCCCTTGTCCTACTCGGATAGCTCTCAAGTGGAACGATGCGGGGTCGGTCTTGGAATCAAGCGGGAATGGTGCGATACCGAAGGCGCTCTTGTCATGGGAGAACAACAGCAGCAGCAGTCGTCATACCACAGTAATGACATGCCATCGATGCAATCGTACCCCGACGAGGAGGACCGCATGCACCAAAAGGCCATGAAAGAAGAAGAAAAGTTTTCATCTTCGCAACATTTTGAGCCTCATCATCATCAACCCATGGGACGAAGAGCCACCTTTATGATCTAAACTGCTAACACATACAATAATATCTCAAAACATCTATGATTACATCTATACTTTTTTGACTACATCTATACATTGTACTGTAATGTAGGTACCTACTCCCATCATCTATCCGGAGCCGCTGTATCTTATCAAGCAAGGGCAAGGGGATACCGCACACCCGTGGGCAGCCCACATGATCTGGTGCTAGCTAGCCACAAGTAGAAAAGCAAGCTACTCTAGCTAGCTAGTGCCACAGCAAACCCCAGCGCAAGAATCCAGCATAGTTGAATTCAATCAATCAAATAAATCATCGTCCATCGATCAATCCGGTGGGGGAGCTGCGGGCCCGATTGAGTCTGAGTCGAGTCGAGTCGAGTCAGAGTCAGTGGGTCGCCAGTCACAGTCGAGAGCACGAAAGACCTTGCTGGCTTGTGGTCGTAAACGCCAGCTGGTCAGCTACTGTACAGTCCAGTACCGCAGCTGCCGTAGCAGCGCGGATAGAACAAGACAAGGGCAAGACACCCGCCCCTGTTCCCACGATCGTTTTGGCTTCTCTTAACGAGGATGGATGCTTCAAAACAAGCACCAGGACGATCCGGCAATTGGGATTTGTGACGTCAGTTTCACCACTGAATAGAACTGTCGTCAAACGTGCTTTAAATATGATTTAGGCGACAGTTCAGGCGACCGTTGAAAAATAGGCAACGGTTTAGGCAACAGCTAGGATTTAAGCAACCGTTACTAGCATTTAACGGGTTGTTTCTCGAAGCATTAGGCAACAGTTTAGGCAATTGCCTATAAATAGGCAACTATTTAGGCAATCGCCTAGATTTAAGCAACTGACGGTTGCTTAATTCTTCGAGCAACCTTTCAGTCGTGATTCCTAACTAGCTAATTGCCGGATCGTCCAGCGATGTATCCCGAGAAGCTAGCTAGACTACACGCTGCTGTTTGCAAGATTGCTTGTCGCCGAACGACCATCGAAGCAACCATGTTTTGTGTTTGCTCGCTTGGCTGCATCCTGTCACCGCCCACAGCAACAAACGGCCACCCAAGTCTAGCTGGCTAGTCTAATCAGAAACAGCCACTTGATCATGGATTATTCGGTTTCGTTTTGAGAATCAACGAAAAGAAAGAAAAGGTGATTGCCACAGGACAGCCGTAGATTGTTGGGCAAGATGATTGCCGCAGGTTGTTTGTTGGTTGCTGTAGGTTGGTCGCCACAACCAGCTCTTGCTTGGGTTGCTAGCTAGCTGCCCAGCATGTACCGGTTTTCTTGCGAAACAGTGAGCTCGCTTTCGGGCAACAAGGTTTCTCTGGTAGAGCGAGCTGGCTGCTTCTTCATATCGTAGCTATCCCGTCATCCACGCAGCCAGCTTTTCATCAGATGAAAAGTCCACTGCGAGAAGCTCTTGCTTCGCCGTCTCCAGTGACGTTCCAGAGGACGCGGTGAGGATGCTTTTTGTGGTCTCGACTGCTCTAGCTAGCTAGCTCGCTGGCTGGCTAGTTAGATGAGGTCTGACCATCTAAATCTGAAACTGGTTTCAACCCAACTCGGAGAGCTATTTGCTAAGTCAACTAGCTAACCGTTTAGAGACTCTCACCATCATTCGACCTAGACCCCAACCGTCTCGTCATCATCATCACTGCTTCTTTCTGTGACCGCCCTTCGTGCGAAAGCCAGGAACAAAGCCAGTGTATCACCTTCGGGCTGGGGACAACCTAGGTTTGCGGTCGCTCTCTGGGAACCAGCGACAAGATACGCAATAGCCGGGCTGTCAGTCTCTCGAGCAAGCAAACGCGAAGAACGGTTTTTAGATTCGAGCTAGCTAGCTAGTTGTTCATGTGGGCATGGTCGAGGACCACATTGTCTCCTCCATCGATGTACTCAAAGATTTGCACAAGTTGAGGACATGGAGCCTGTCCCACCAAATGTTTGCCATCGCTAGAGATCATGACCGAGGAAAAGTCCGAGCATGCATCTTCCATCACATTGTCTCCCGAATGAGCCGGACCAACTGGCGCCCCCATGGACACCCACTGATTGTTGGCATCTGCTGCATGATGTTGGTATTGAAAGACTTGGAGGTAGCCATGAGAGGTAGGTATCTTGGAAGTAGGAAAGTTGTGCTCATGGATGCCTCCGCTGACGGCCACTGCCAAGACCTTGCCCGTGGACGACAAGGCCATGCTGCGACTTCCGTAGGTTCCAAATCGCTTGAATCCAATGGTTTTGCCGACCTGTACAGCCCCAAAAGGAAGCCATTGTTGTGTTCGGGAATCAAAGGCAAAAGTCCTGACTTGATTCTCGGCTGCTTCTGTGGCGAGCGTGTTGCCATCCTCCGACATTGTCACGTATTGTCGTTCCGATACGGGAAGAATGGGTTGCATTTGGGTCCATTGTTGTGCCGCGCTGTCCCATTCAAAAACTACAATGCCGTCTCGCGTGGCCTTGGGTCCAGCTCCAGGGAATAGTCGAGCATTGACGGTTGTGACGAGCCGATGACCGTTGCTCGAAAGACCAATGAAATGACCAATTTCTTGACCAATGTACATGATGGTCCCATTGCTGTTTTTGGTTTCTTCGGATGACATGGAGAGGCTATCAATTTCGGATCCCATGGGCTTCCATGCTCTGGTTGTTTGGTCCCACTGAACCACACGAATGGATCCCATCACAAACGGTCCCTTTTCAGCCCCCTGGAAATGATAGGAATAGATCAAAAGAGGCAGTCCAATGGCAAGGATAGTACCGTCGTCATTCAGCTTCAAGCTCGCTCCAAAGTCGGCATTTCTGCCATCTGGTTTGTAGGGAAATACTCGAATGTCTTTTTCTGGAGATGTGTAGTTTGTGTAGAAGGGATGTTCTATATCCAATGCTTGCTCGTGTATTTTCTGGGGTGGATCTAGTGTTAGATCATACACCCAAACCTCTTGCACCTTGTGCATTTTCGCAGGGCCCTTTTCCACGTGTGTCATGGCAAGACGTTTGCCATTTCGTGAAATGGACAGTACAGGACTTGGTTGGCAAGGAAGCGCCGCTGTGTGTTTCCATTCTTGTTCGAGATCCGAGTAGTCCAGGATCACAACGTGGCTATCTTGAGCCACCACCATGCGGCGTCCATCGCCGGAAAGATCGGAACAGAATTCGCAGTGATACCCCTTTTTGGAAAACCCGCTCTTCTTGAGAACCTCGTGGAGATGCAAATCTCCGTCATAGTGACGATAGAATTGTTTTGGTTGGTCTGGGATTGCCACTGGTCCAGGAGCTGTAGAAACGCTTGATTTTCCACTACCAACGGCCAAGATCGTACAGACGGCTACCAAGGCCATGGCAGCCCCCAGCAGACGCCATGATGTTTTCGGGTCCTTCAAGTATCTTTGGTACGGTGCTGAAGTGGCAAGGATTCGCACCCAAACGTTCCATTGATTCTCTGATTGTAGAGAGCTTGATTCATCGGGATCCTCTCTCGGAAGTAGCTCAAAGTGCTTCATGGTCCATTCATCCGTAAAGATACTGGTAGCCAAAAAGAAGAATCGAATCCAATCTTTGCCTCTGAGAGCCCAATCAAGTCGGCTCGTCGGTTAGAAAGAAAGACATCGATCGTGCAGTAACGATTATAGTCTTCTATCGTGCAGAAAACTCCCTACAAAGAAACTTTACAAGCAGGAGATAGATAGATCTAGCTAGCTAGGTTGCCTCACTATTGTTGCTGATTGCTGTGCTCTCTTGGCGTCAGTCATCATTCGTGCCGAAAAAGAAAAATCTATCAGAGGTGAGCGGGACACATAAAAATGAGTAAGTGGGGTCTGGCAGTCGCTCCCAAACTACTGTAGACATAAAGCTTGTTGAACTGGTTTGCACCGCATCCGAAGGGGACAGAGCTGTTTCGAACGAAGAGCCCACTTGCAATTGGGGAAGAAAACAGGCTGTTCCAAGGAGCGTACCGTGCTGTATTACTACAGCCGTACGAATAGAGGAGGGTCTTGAGTACTGCGTACTATCGTACTATCCAATGACGGGAATGATTCCGTTGCTCCAATCTAAAGTTGACAGGGAGAGGAACTCGTAAGGCGTGGAACGCTCAAATCGTGGAACACAACGACCGGCATTCCTCTTCGTTTCTTCTTTCGTTGAGCAACATGACATACGAGTTCCTTAGCCGCAACGCCCACGTTCTTACAATTTCGGCTTTTCCCACCGGTACGGAAGACATAGCAGCTAGCGGCATCATGGATGCAAACATGGACATGAACCTGGAAGACAAGACTACCGCTGTCGAGCCAGAAGAAACCGCCACAGTCAGCTCGGAAACACTCATCAGTGCTTCCGAATCCGAAGATAGCGCCAAGGACGAAGGAACGATGGATATCACTGGCTCAGATCAAAATGGTGATCCCATGGATGTAGAGAAGGAAACACCATCGTCGACAACCACTACAACGGACGAAGATGATGACACGAAGGATGTAATTGACCAAAACCGGCTCATAAGTCTCCTCGAGCAGAGTAAGGAAGGAGAGAGACGAATCGAAGCGGAGGACATTCTCCTTTTTATTGGTGGCACGGGAGCGGGCAAAGTGAGTTTGACGATAGAAGCTACGATCGTGTCAGACCGAACCTTAGTTTTCTCACACGTACGTCTTCTGTCTCTGTCCACAGACTACGACGACGCTCTATCTAGCAGGTGCAAAGTTTAAGGAAGTAGAAGTCAGAGGAGTTGACCACTACGAACCTTACGATCTCCCCAACCCCGACCTTGCTCAGTTTGCTGTCTCGGAAAAGGCGACATCTATCACGAAGACCATCCACGCCACGAAAGTAGAGCTCCCTGACGGACGCATTGTCACGATTTGCGATACACCAGGGTTCGGTGACACTAAGGGGGTCGAAATGGAGATATCGAATGGCCTCGGTATAATCCGCGCGCTCCAAAAGACAAAGTCCGTGAAGCCGGTCTTGGTTTTCGACCGAGAAGGCATGGGGGCAGCTCGATATACGAATCTGCGAAAGACCTTGCAGACAGTCGTCTTGATGATGGGCAAGCAGGTTGACTTTTCTTCCTTCGAGTACGTTTTCACTCGGTGCACCCGCAAGCTGTCCAAGAAAATATGCAAGCAGCTCGCTGGTTTTCAAGATGACCTCCGTGAGAATCCAAGCGACATTCTCGGCGGAGACGCTTCGGAGTTTGAGATGCTTGACGCGCTACTCTCTGATATGGTTGCCAAAACAACTCCTGAAGCCATTTTTATTGAACCAGACGACGAAGATGAAGCTCCCGAAACGCTCAAGCGTCTCTGGTGCAGCAATGAGGCTCGAATTAAAGATCCCAGATCTGCGTTCAACGATTTTGTTTCCAAAGAGTCAGCTGACAAACTGAAGCTTCAGATCGGCAACATGCTGCGGCGGCTCGACAAAATGCTCTCTGGAGGCGACTTTGAGGGATTTGAAACTACTACGCAGCAACTTGTCAGCCTTTCAAACACTCTGTCGTTCTCTCGGACGGATGAAGCTGTCAAACAGGCACGTGAGAAGGGTCGCAACCTTGTGCGTGAAAAGTGTGATCAGATTCAGGCACTTACAGAGCGCTTGGTTGGAACATCCGATGTTGACCATTTCAAGGAATTGTCTCAGGATTTGCAAGAGAAGCTCTCTACTATGTCCCGTTTGGACTCCATCAGCGAACTCTGTGAAGTGTCCACAGATCAGAGACTTGACGCCACGATCAAGGCCGCCCCAACAAAGATATTTGACGGTCTCCTGCGTGGCCTTACCCAGCTTGAAGAAGCCTCAGCAGTCGAAGGCTGGCACAATGATCTAAAAAGCATAGTTCTCCGCATCGACACTACCGTTGGGGCTCTGCAAGGGTACATGCCTATCGACAAACTTAGCCCGATGTATGCATTGTCGGTTCAAAGCGTGTCGAGCTTCGTGGAGCATCGTCTCAAATCAATTCAAGAAAAACTGGAACATCCAACGTCTTCCGCTCTGAGCGAGTGCAAAGGTACTCTTCTTTCGCTTCGTGATCTGAAGTTCTTCTTCTTGAAGGGATCTGGAAGCGCCAATGTGGAGGCATTCCGTTCCGACAGTTGGGAGTGGCTGGGCGAATGCCTTACAGGTATCTCGGTCTCCCTCGCAGGCCGCTATGAAGGCAGCATTGACAAACTCGCTAAACACACGCTCGAAGAAGATTGCGAGAAAGAGGGATGGGAGCAAGCACTGTTGGCTTTGAGCAACGACGAAGAGGTAGTCGAGAGCCGATTGTTTCATGTCGAAGCATCTTCAGTTCCGTTCTTTTGCAAGCTTGTCACAAATGTTATGGAGAAAGAAGGAGCGAAACCAGGAAGCCAGATTGTTGCGGACTTCGACGAAGCATTGACCAAGGCTTTGACAAACTTTGCTGAATCTGCAGATGGGTGGGCCAGCCAAAAGCAGCCAGCCTCACAGAAGAAGAGAGCTTTGCAACTTTTGAAAGTCGGGCAAGCAGCGGCGAAAGTATGCAAGGACCACCGAGTGTCGAATGTGCCATCATTAGAGCAGATTGGAGAGAAGCTTGTAGGAACCATGAAAGTGTTAAAGCTTTTCATCGAAAAGTGCAATTCAATGCCTCAACGCCCTGATGACCTCTTGTATGGACCAGAAGAGCTAGGTAAGCAGTGGCATGCCAAGCTAGTGGAGTTGCGGGCCTACAAGATTAAGCACGGAGACTGCAACGTGCCCCAAAAGCCTTCGTCGCTTGGCATAGTAAGTCTCTGAGGTGTACCGTACCATCGTGTTGATTGGCATGGTTGTTTGATTGTGTTCCACTCAAAGCTTGGCCTCTTCTTTTGGAATAGTGGGTGATGCATCAACGCCTAGAGGCTAAGAAACTGCAGACTGGTAAAAAAACTTCCATGACTGATAAAAGGAGGGAAGCTCTGGCAGACCTTGACTTCGAATGGACATGCAAAAACAGCAAGAAAGCTAAACGTGATGCCGCGACGCTTGAGACCCGATTTGCAGAGCTTCAAGAGTTCAAGGAGGCAAACGGGCACTGCAATGTTCCGCAAAGAAATGCAAGAAACAAGGCTCTGGGCCAGTGGGTCCACAATACGCGCAAATTTTACTTCAACGGCAAGCTTTCAAAGGAGAAAATTGCCCGATTGGAAACTATTGGTTTCCAGTGGAGGGCCAAAAAATGAAGGACTGGATGACCTCATAAATGTTCTCCGTCGCGTCCTGGGAAAAAGTCAATATAACCCTACAATAACGATATAAGAGAGATATGCACCAGAACCCTACAGTCGTGCCTTCAACCAACTCTAGTAATTCGAGCACGATCTTGAGGATCTTTTGCTTCAATCAACTACCGAAAAACCAGTTGCCACAAGAACGACGGGACTAGTTGGAAGGGATCGGTTTTCAATGGTGTTCCTCCGGTTTTGAACATGAATCAACTGGATTGCAAAAAAATGAAGCTATGACGGGGCCTCCAAAGATGTCGAGAGGTTTTCAGTCGGTGTAGTAGCTCTCCTGCTCATCTCAACTGCGTTTCAGAACACAGCAAATACAAGAGGCACAGCGTCGCATGTTTGCTTCATAGTAAGAGTTACAAGGAGACTACTACGCGACCATTCTTTTATTCTAATCCCAGTCATCCATGCCCACTCCTCGAGCACCCAAACCTTGCACCTTCCAAAAACACTTGAAAGTGTGGAATTCTCGTCATCAGATCAACTGGCAAAAGCCACCCTTGTGGCAGTGCCAGTCTCTTTCTGAGACATTCTTTGATATGGAATCCATATTGCTTTCGAGTGTTGTGATTGTAGGTGGTTGGTCCTTTTTGCTCCTTCTCCCATTTGGCATGTAACTCTGCTGTCACCGCATAGTCTCGTTCACAAAACTGCTTGACATTGATTCCTTCCATGTATAGTACTCTAAGAAAAGTGTAATGTTGTTTTTTCCAATTTTCATCGCCTTTCCACTTCTCCAAGTTTGTTCTTTTTCTTTTGTCTTCATCTTACTCGAAACGACCAAATTGTAGACCATGCTTGTCATGGTAGAAGGTAACGGACAAGCTAAAATCCTTGACAATATCAGCATCATACTGAGGATAGGCTTGGGCCAATTTTTCTGCTCTTGCCGCCATGAGTTTTTGTGTGTAAGGACGGATTCCAAGGTTTTGGATTTGATTTCTGTAGAAAGGAAAGAAACAAAGCACAGCAACAATTAGTTCAATATTCAGTTGACAACGGCTCAACCAAAGGAATCATTCAAAACAACAAAGACTAGCAAGATGCCACAACACAAACACAGTGTAGGGAAGCTTTTTATCTTCGTACCTGATGTACTGCAAACAGAGCAAAAAGAAGGAGAATTGTCCCAAAGGCGGTTCCATCCACGCCCATGCCCAACTTCCCACTTCCAAGGGTGTTTCAAGATCCTTGGGTTCCGGGACATCGGCCGTAACGTAGTACTCATTGAACCACGAGACCGTGTTGATATCAAAGACCATGGGAAAGGATCCAACGGCGACCGTAATGGCCATTCCAATTCCCACCTTGTAGGGCAACGTCAACAACCACATGCCTTCTCGATTGGTCTTGGCAATTTCCAGGCCTTTCTCCTTTGCCGTCTCGTAGGGTACCTTATCGACCGTCATAATGTGTCGCACGAGAATTTCCTTGAGGGCATCCGTGTTCCCCATTGCACCCAACATGACCAGTTCCGAGTTGTCCATTTCCTTGCAAGACAGCGGCATGGCCATGGCTTTGGCCATATCCGGTGGAGCTCGTTTGCTGGCATGATGACGACTGCGACCAGTGCGTCGAGGACGGGCCACACTCACAAACGATCGAGTGAGGGATGTGGTGGTGGTGGAGCTGCTCTTGTGGTGGTCCAAGAACAAATTGTTGGTTTGGTTCAACCCTCCAATCATGACCGATCGAACGCCTACAGAATGGCTGAGGCCTCCCAGAGCGGCTCCTCCTCCTCTTTGAAGGAGATCCAGCACATGCTTGCTTCGGGCGACGTTCATGGTCAAGGATGTATATATTCTACTATTGTATTTTTGGCAAGGTCACTTCCAACAATTTGGCTGTGGGAAAAAAGTGTTCGAATAGGAAAGCTAACTTACCTGGAACCTGGCCGTTGACCATGGAGAGATGACCACTTGGATCTTGGACAAGAAGCTTTTTGTTAGCAACACGGAAGCTGGCATCAACTGGTTCATTCAACAAAGATCCAACCACGTCACTACACTCCAAACTCAATAATAAGAAAGCTCTAACTGGGAGTCAGTACTCGAGCTTTCTTACCCAACCGCTCTATTTTGCTACTCATTTTATTTCTAAGAAAACAAGCCAATTTCAGTATAGATGACTTTCTTACTAAGCTTCTAGATCAAACAGGTAGTGTTTGGTTACACCCAGTGCACATGGGCCTTTGGGTCCAACTTGCTCAGGACTCGTAAATTGGGTTGGATAAAAAAGAGATGGTGATCACTGTGTCTGCCGCGAGGCAGAAAATTTTGCAGTTTTAGGCACATGTTAGGAGAATTTTCATGGTGTCAGACTAGTATTGTTTCTTGTGCTTTGAGGTATCAATACTGGGAGGTTTTCTTGCAAGTCTGTGATATTTCAGTATAAAAAGATTCTTATCTTTTTCTAAAATCTGAGTACTCGCTTTCTTATTTGGAGTTTCTTACCTTCAGGTTTGGAGTGTAGATTTTCTTGATTGAGTCAACAGTATCCGGGTCTCAATCCAACGGTCACACATCCTTTCTCTCCTTGCATCAAGAAGGGCACCAGAACATGCCCGCCCGGCGGTACCTGGTACTTGCACCCAAGGCATTAGAAGGCGCCTCGAAAAAAAGATCCCCTTTTAGCCACCATCAACAGCACCGAACGTGTTCATGATCTGGCATCTGGACAGCCAGAAGGACCCGTGCATCTTACGCACGGCAACCTCTGCATTAGTACCTGTTGATACCTGGATACCTTCTCTAGCTAGCTCCAGCATCATCCTCAAGAGACAGAAGAACAAGAGATTCATCGTAGCTTTTTTAAAAGAAACACTCACAAACACAGCGTTGTACTTGGCATCCAAAAGAAAGAAGACACAACCATGTCGAGCCCCAAGAGTCGCTCAGGGATCCACCCGGACGACGTTCTGTGTGGACCCGGCCACTTTACCAGTCAACGAGGAAATCTTCTTTGTCTCTCTCTGGTCCGAGACCATTTAGAAGAATACCGCAAAGCCAGTGGTTCGCAGCAACGACACGCCATCGTCCAGCGGATCTTTTCCCAAGTGGCAGGTCGCTTTCTCCATTCCAAATCACTCCAAGAGCTCTCTCGACTAGACGCACTCGCCAAGATTGTCCGCATGTTCCGTTTGGCGAACAGACGGGGTCCCTATCAGAAAAAGATTTCCCTCGCTGCTACTAGTAGTGCAAGTTGGGAGATGGAAGAAGAAGAAGAGCCCATGGAAGAGGATGATGATGACGACGAGGACGACTACGACGATGAGACTGTAGGAGAAGAAGAAGACTACCAAGAAGAAAGCAGCGATGAAGATGATGATGATGTCGATTCAATCGAGTCAACGACCATCAGGAGGCGCCAAAGCAAAGCAGATTCTGCCTCTCGGATCTCTCCGAAAGGTTCCACACAATGTCATGGCAACAACAACACGGCCAACAATTCCGATCCCTTCCGGCCTCAGGATGTCCTTTGCGGAGTGGGCAAGCGCGGGAATGATGGCAATTTGAAGGTTGTCAACCTCGTCTCCAAATATCACTACGTATATACGCACGAGGACACCTCTGCAGACGAGAAAGCTGCAATTGTCAAGGAGGTCTACAAGGCCATTGCCGAGACGGGTGGACGCTTTATGGATGTTCAGACGCAAAAAGAGCTTTCCGAAAAAGAAGCACACAAACGCATTTGCAAGCGAATGGTGTATGCCAACGGTTTGTTGTTGAAGAACAAGAAGAAGAAACAAGGGAATAGTGGCAGCCACAAACGCGCATCCTTGTACAGCCTTCCACCAGCGAAATCAACAACACAGTCGTCAACAAAGAAACGAGGTCGTCCCAGAAAGGAACCACCCGAGTACAACGACTCATCGTCGGATGAGGATGACGAAAGCGACGACAGTGATCGCTGGAACAACCAAGTGAAATCAGCTACACCCGCCACTCCAACCCAAAAGCGAGGAAGGGGTCGGCCCAAAAAGAAGCAACCAGAGTACAATCTGTCGTCCTCGTACGATGACGAGGACGAGGACGACTCCATTGAGAGCGACTACAGCGAAGGCTTGAACAAGCAAGCGAAAGCCGCAAAGCGAGGAATGGATCGTCCGAGAGAGAAACAACCGGAGTACAATCGGTCATACTCTTATGATGATGATGATGACGACGACGACGCCGAAAGCGACGACAGTAGCCAGCCAGCTCCCAAACGGGTCAAACCAATGTCCCCGGTCAAGCAACACAACAACAACAAAGCCACTGCGGACCCCAAAAGACATGTACTGTTTCGAGAAGACGACGTCCTCGTGGGCGGACGTGGTAACCGTCAAAACGCTGGAAATCTTTATTGGACGCAACTTGTAAAAGAACGAATGGATGCATACCATAATGATGACCTGTCCGAGCACGACAGCCTAGATATCGTTGATTCCATTTACAGGGACATCTATGCCAGGGGAGGTTGCTTTCGAGACGTTACAACCATGCAGGAACTGCATCGCGAGGATGCTTTGCAAAAGATTGTCGCCAAACTCAAGAGAACCTACATTCGAACCAGGAACGACGATGATGGCAACGATGACGACACTAGCGCAAAGAAGAATCATCAAGTAAGCCCTGTTGCGAGTGTGACTACATGGGGGGGCAGTGACAGTAGCAAAAAACCTCCCCCCAGACTTGCCAAGTCATTACCCAACCATTTTCATTTCGGAGCCAAAACAACACCCCCCAGAGCTGCGAAAACATCACCGGACAAGTATGGGGCAGGTGCATGCATTGATGAATTTTCAATAAGACCAAATGACGTTGTTTGTGGCTTTGGGCTGGGTCGGTTTAACCAAGAAAAAGGCAATGTCTTGTGCATGACTCTCATAGTTGAGCACCTGGAAGACTACTGTGATCCGGACATTACCAAGGAAGAAAAGAATGACATCTTGGACACAATTTACAGCACTCTCACTAGTGGCAATGGTCCTTTCATTGATTTCCAAAACAAAATGGAGCTCTCCCGTGATGATGCACTTCAAAGACTCAAAAACAAAATGCAATGGGCACGTTGGCAACGGAACAGCGACCGCACGGCACGAGCACAAGAAGCGGTAGCCGCAGAGTTGCCATCTGGCACAACCATCCAAGATTTATCTGCTCAGGTCAAGGTTGGCTCCCAAGTGGCTGTTTTCTGGCCGGAAGATGATCAATACTATGCCGCCACTGTCGTGGAGCACCGTGATTCGTCTACTCACAGGAAACCCTTGTATATTGAATACGATGATGGTGATGCTGAATGGATTGACCTGTCCGAGCATGTGTTTCGACCGATTGGGTTTGGCGAAGTCAGCAATGGCACCGGTAGCATTGGAGCCGTTTTTGCTGAGAACGAGAACACTGCCACAAATCAAACAGAAGAGAGAGAAAGAACTGATGTGTGTAATGATACAGAAGCAAATGGCAATGTGGAAGATGCAGTCAATGATGCCAAACCAGGAGCAGAGGGAGGGCAAGGATGGTCCGAACCTTCAAATGAGCAATTGACGGTTGCAAGTGATGGCCAAGCTGCAATCCTGGTCAGTCCCTGGCGTCTCATCAGAGGAACAATGGACGAGAAGCATGCCTGTAGATTGCTGCAAGGCTCGTGTCCAGGCGAAAAACCACAAGACGAAGTTGTGCAGAATCTTTTACAGGACCTGAAAAACGAACGCCAGGAGCTCAAGGAGTGGGCTAAAGACAAAATCAAGGCCAAAATGGTTGAAAAAGCACAAACTCTCTACGGGCTGGAGGCTATAAGTTCCTTTGATGACGTGGTTCAAGCATGGGTACATGATTCATCACCTGAAAATCAACTGAAGATGCATGCCATCATTCATGGACAATTCACCGGTAACTCTGCACAGATAGCTCGGCTGCCCATTCCATGGGTCCTGCAAATGGAGCGGGTCTACATGGAGAAGAAGGGTGTGTGCTATGACAACGTTTGCGACGGAGTACAAGCACAATGCTCTGCAGCTAGCTTTCGTCGTCGTCATGGAACTGGGTATGTGTACGATATCATTGCACTGCAGCTCAACTATCAACAGAATGCAGTCAAGTTAAGGGGCAAAGCCAAGCATGGTTTGTACCTGACATCATATCTGAAGGATGTTGGCTACAATGAGCCCCCTGGGAGAAAACGACACGCCTCAAAGAGTGAGTCGGACTTTGGGAAGGAAGCAAAAGTTGCCAAGGTCGCAGGTGAGACGGTGAATACTGGGGGAGAAGAGACTCCATCCAAAGCAGTAACAACAGAAGATGATGAAAAGAATCGGGAGAAGTCACCTGAAAGAGCGTCAGCCAAGATGGTGGAAAAGCAAACAACAACAGGTTGCGATGACTCACTCAACAAACAAGGCCACCAAACCACCGAGGTGATTGCAGAGAGCTTAAGCAATGTCGAATCACCTATCAGTGCATCAACATCATGCACAACACCTGACCAAACCACCAAGGTGATTGCAGGGAGCTTAAGCAAGGTCGAATCACCTATCAGTGCATCAGCATCGTGCACAACACCTGAATATGGTGCGCCTGGAGAAGGAGCCAGTGGTGCCTTGGTCAGCAACATTGAAGCTGTAATTCAGAAGGTGGCTGTAAGTCGAAATCGGCTTCTCAAAGCCTCAATGGGTGAAGAGCATGCAATGCAGTTCTTGACTGGTTTGATTTTCCCCAATGCTGAGGCCAAGAGGGATGCAACCAAACAGCTGCTAGAGCAGTTGCATGATGAGCGACATGCCATTAAGGCATGGGCCAAGAATGAGATAGAGGGGGCTATGGTTGAAAAAGCATGTGAGCTTGGGTTTGACAAAGTCACCACGTATGATGATTTGGTGCAGTCCTGGATGGGTGATGCATCCACAGAAAAGCAAAAATGGATCCAATTGGTCATGTATGAGCTTTGTTCAGTGGGTAGTGATAACACAAAACCCCACAAGCCCATACAATGGGTGCTTCAGATGGCTGACAGATTCATGGAAGAGAACCATCTGGTGTACTCAGAAGCCAATGGCAACATTCACACAACGTCACAGCATGGATATGTTTATGACATTGTTTCAGTTGCACTTGATGAAATCAGGCAAGAGGTCAAGATGTGCGGGAAGAAACAACATGGAGGTTGGTTGGATCCTCCAAAACCTTCTTCAGTCAAGACGGGCACCAATCTTGATGCAGAGGCCAATGTTCCCGATGAGCAATTCTCACAGCCAAATACTACTGTGGCACATTGTCATTCCAGGCCAGTCCTTCCGGAAACTTCCACCTCCACATCTTCATCGGAACTTGCCAATCCCACAAGGGATATGATTGGAGATACAACAACAAACACCTTGCCAAGGAGGGTTTCCAATCATTCAAAGAGCAAAGCAGCCTTGCCATTGCCAATGAATCAGAATGATGTGGTCGCTCCATCGAGTTATGTGATACAACGAAAAGCACAGGATGCTGGGAAACAACTGGCAACTGTTCCATTAGGATCTGGAAAGCCTGAAGTTTCTGCTGATTGGTCCTCACCTGTGGAGGAAGCAACAATGGCTTTGCAGTTGCAGGTTAGGCAGAGGGAGACACATCAGCAACAGAAGAACTGGAGTCTGAAAGAGGTGGTTGTGGTGGCTGGACTTTGTCTGGCAATAGCTGTGATCCCAGCAGTGAAATTTCTTTTCAAGAATGGATAGGATCAAGGCTTGTCTTTTGTGGACAGTCAATCTTGAGTTCAGCCAAAGCTGCACAAAGTGGAGAGGAAGACAACATTGGGCACCTACCTAGTTCCACAGGAAGCCACCCCTTGGACCAAGCAGCTAGCTAGGTGTTTAGTGGAGCACATTTTTGGGCCAAGCATCTAGCCAGCTAGGAGCATGTAGTACAATTTTCTATTCGTATGACCACTTATTTCCTTCCGCATACTTAAGCGCTTAGTTTTGCTTTGCAACTTGCCTTTCTTCGTAGCTAGCTGACCTATTGCTTTCAGCCTGCCACATCAAGCAGCAGTTTCTTGGAACCTTTCCTTGACACCTCCCCAGATGGCATTGACCTCTGTGCGGGATGGTAAGCACCTTCAACAATACAGTTTTACCTTTAAAGTTTACGTAGAGCTTGTTACTTTGGCATCCACCTAGCTAGCTACTGGTGGTACCGGCAGCTATGCAGCATGCGGCAGCAGGGAGATGGATGAGGCATGCGCTGCCAAAGTCGCGAGACCCGTTAGGTGGAAGCGTATGACTGTTGTGCTGTGGAGATGACCCAACAAAAAAGAAACCTGCTTCTTTTGATGCCAACTCTGGCGATAGAAGGTTCGTCGCTGTTTGTGATCTGGTGAGCATGTAAAACACAAAATTGAGTGTCTCTTTTGGTGGTCAGGGACAAGATATCGAAGGGCTGTTCGCTGCAGTACATCCTACACAGCTGACCTGCCTAATTCCTCCATTCGCTCAAACGCAAAATAATGTTTCCTGACGAATCTGGGTTACTTGGCCAACCTGTCATCAAATTTCTCCCTTTATTGGCACCGATTTCCTTGCCCCCCGTAATCGCTTTGGCTTCAGTAGTATCTATGTTAAAATTAAATTAACGAGGAATCCCGAAGAGTACCAGCACCAGCACCTGCATCATAGCTACTGTACGGTGCCGGTAGAAGGCAAATTTAGCTACCTGTAGAAAGCAAGATATCGGATACCCTGCCTTGCGTGCGTCCATCGTACGAACAAGCTTGTGCTGGAAGTCAACATCCAACAAACAAACAAAGTTTTGATCTCCTTCTCTTGCCTGGCGAGGTGTGAATGGCTACCCGAGATCCATGTCATTGCCTTGCCTTACATGTACGTACCGTACATGCAAGCGATAGCTTGTTATTACTACCAGTAGCTTCCCTGCGACTGCTCCCACCATCCACCCCTCTCAACACTCAACACTCAAAACAATCGAGGGTGAAAATCTGACAATCCAAGCAGTCCAGCATCCGACTTAACTGCCAAGTTCATCATGACTCTAACCATCTAGGGCACATTTCTTGCATGCTTCCTTGGTTCCTTGGCAGCGCGATGGCACAGGAACTGGATCATATATGTTTAATTAACTACTACAGTGGGCTCAATTCCATCTTGCGTATACTGTACCGGTACAGTAAAATGCCCTTCTTTGCTGTGACTGGTCTTCTTGGAGCCCTTACTATAAGACCGCTGGTAGTGGTACCGGTACTGACACGATCGACACAAGCGACAAGGGTCTTGAGACTTGAGATTGTACAGGATGACTTCTTTTACCGCTGACAGGTGTCAAAATGTGAGCGTTTTTGACGGTTATCTTTCAGTTTTCGGAAATGGGAACCCATAAATGGTCATTTCGCGAAATATCTACGTGGCTGACTATTTTGACGCCAACAGAAAAAACACAAGGAAAAATAAAATTTACCACCATGGCAACAGAGTTGACCAAATGGTCTCTAGCTTTACCATTACATTGAGATAGCAAATCCTTTTCTAGAACTAGCTCCCCAACACACTCACAGAGCCACCCCTCAAAAAGGATTTGCTATCTCCAAAGCTTCCTATGGAGCCTCTATGAAAAATCAGGCTTGGATTCCATTTTGTTGTCATTCTGCCATGGATTTCTCCATGGGTAAGGTGCTCCTGTCCTCACTTTCAGCACCCAATCTGCACTGTAGAGTATGGTAGAGGAGTAGGTGGCTTTGGATGAAGACTGGAGCACCCATCCCAAAGGTTCAAAGGAGATTGTTGGCTAAACCATGGCAAAAATTGTGCAGATATCACATAAATTTGTAGTCAGTCGATTACTCGAAGCCGTACGGTAGTAGAAAAGCTGCCGCTTGTTTCATTCGTAGTAGCACTAGCAGACTCTCACGGCCACTCCGTGGATCCTCATGGTTGCAGAAAGAAGACCGAAGAAAGAAGACCGAATTGATCCGTCGAACGGAAGCTTGTTGCCATCGATTGGTGTTCTAGTAGTAGTAGTACCGGTACCGGTAGTCGCTTGTTGTGGTAGAGGAGTCGTCGCTCCGTGGAAGAGGAGGCGCCATGGTCATGGTCGATCCATAGAAGAAAGAAGTCACCAGTCATCCACCAAATCGATCTCCAGTCATCGACCGATCCGACGAACGGCTGCGCTTGCCAGTCTAACCAAACAAGAGGAGCCTGTCATGGTGGTGAGTAGTAGCCTTTGTTAAGAGGAGTAGCCACTATAGAGGAGATAGAATCATCTTGATAGAGTCAATAGAGAGTAAAGATAGAGGTATCGAACGGAATAATGACAACAGGAGGATACTAGTACGAGTGGCTTGGATCGATCGATCCGAGCGAGTGATGTCAGTTGAGATTATGGTTAAGTCTTTTCGAGGAACGTTCCAAGAGGTTCCGGTTCGCATTCGAATGTCTTACCGGGAGCGGGCTTGCGTTTGTCTCGATAGCTTAGATTCAGCCTGTACAGTAATTAGAACAGACGGTCATGTAAGCATTGTAAATAACCCAGTCATGAAATGAAAGACATCAAGAGCGGTTATTGTAAGAAGCTTGTGCAGCAGCCGAAAGAGGCGTTGCTGGCCAGCTGTTGGCCACAATCGAGGCACTCCACTTTCTTCGCTTGCAAGTTAGAACCATCACCTTTTTGGCGTGATATCCCCCGGCATTACAGTACCGGTACCACCAAGAAAGGCCACAACAGCACAATCATCTCTAGCTAGCTATCTCTTTACTTTGCAAAGCTTTGTCCCCTGTTTTTAGTTTTAATATTTGAGGAACCAACCAACTAGACCATGAGCAACGACAAGAACGGTGCGCTCGCTGACGAAAGCGCCAACAGCGAGGGTAGCAACCGAGGAGGCATGGACGGCAGCAATCGCCTCATGATGGACAACAGCAGTCGTCGCGAAGGAGGAGAACCCAAGCGTCGCAGTTCTAAAATCATGTTGGAAGGAGTGGAATATGATCTTTCCAATTTGGTCTTGGACGACGAGGAGGAAGACATTGAAAATGAGAATAATATTAACAATACTATAATTGCTGCTGAAGAACAAGAACAAGAAGATGACAATGCCAGCGCCAGCAGCAGCAGTGCCAGTGATGACAGTACCAGCGGGTACTTATCATGTCGCTCCAAGACCAGTCGAGGCACGATGAGTCGCAATGTGAGCAATGCGTCGACATTTTACGAACGGACCGTGGATGTCTTTGACAAGCAAGCCGCGGCGGCCCGTCGTCAATCGCCGTATCGCTTTGATGTGGACGCCATGCGAACATTAATGACATCCTTTAAAGGAATTCCGGAATTGCAAAACAGTTTTCGGCTCAGCAAAAGTGGGGCCATTGTCGATGTCGACGATGAAACCAATAGTGAACGACCGTCCATCAGTGCCCATGACGATGAGTTGCTATATTTGGCCAACGACGACGACGACGACGCTAATGATGAGGAACCAAAAAATGCAGCAGCGACTTCTATTTCTGCAGAAGCTTCTGCTACTCCAGAAACTGACGCCACCAAACCAACCAACATTAGTAGCAATGACAAGACGACCGAAGCAGCTGCTGCAGCAGACGACACGGATGTCCCAGGACGCTGCAGTGTCAGCACTACCAGCACCAGTCAAGGAAGTTGTGGCGACAGTTACAGCAACAACTCGGCACACAACACTCCAGCAGCACCACCGGCTGTTCCTGAAGATGAACCCATTCAAAGTAATCAACATCAAAATTGCACCAATGCCGAGGAAGAGGAAGAAGGCATTGATGATCTCGTCTACGATGAAGCTACAGGAACCTATGTCTACAGAGAGTACGAATACACATATCCCGACAACACCACCACAACTACTACGGATATCACCAATGATACTAATCCACCACAAGAATACTACGACGATCCCTGCGAAACCTCCACGGAACATCACAATCGATACACGTTGGAAGAAATGACAGCCGACGCCGCACTCGGATCCGACGATGGAGCGTATGATGACGAAGAACACGAAATGGAAATTTCTCCCGGCATTTATGTTCCCTTTCGTGGCGCGAAAGAAACCTGGCAGGCCGTGGCGACCCACACCACCCACGAATTGGACTGTTTCGATTGTGGATTGGCGCTAGTGTGCATCAATGACTGCGAATTCACGGTGTGTCCCGATTGTCGCGTTGTCAATCCCGTCTTTTGCGAAGATCCCATTGGGAAACCCTTTGGCGTTGGCATGGGATTCAAAAAGGATTGGGTCGTCAAGAAACAACATTTGCGACGCATGGAACGAGAACGCATGGCACAAGAGCAACGGGCCCATCCGCCCGTGCGGATGCAATCCAAACGAAAAGTGACAACGGTGGGACAACCAAAAGCTTGTTAATATAGAACAGCGAAAAGAAAAGCATGGTAGGGACTAATTGAATTGAATTGATTTGAATTCAATGCTGACCAGAAGACGGGGGCTGCCAACAACAAGAAGAATTGTCCAGACAAGTTTTATTTTTGTGGTGAATGGTGAAAACGAAATCGCCTATTCCATATTATTCTATCTATCATAAGTCGAATATGAATGATCTTTTAATCTACATCTACCAGTTGTGCTTTGCTTGTCCGGAAAACATCGGACTAGAGTTTCTCGATGCCTGTAACGTGAATATGGAGATGGCGCACAGAAAGGCATGTGTGACCACAAACCTTTGACACACACCGTTCTGCAGATAGTCCAACGCATCAATTGTATTGCTTAGTCAGCAACAGCTTCGATACCGTGGGTTCGTGCTCTGTCAAAGTCCGCGGGTGAGTAGACCCGGCTGAGAAACGCAAAAGACAAAATTGCTTGTCACGCTGCCATCCGCCACCGTTCCACCGGGTCTCGAAGATGATCGCGCCGTGATGAGTTTCTTGCTTCTGTTGTGCGTGCTGTGAATCAATCGTTGTCTTGCCCCCTGAGTTGTTTCGCATGCCTGACCGACTAAGCAAGCTGCCTGGGTCTTCTATCGAGATACCTACGGCAGAGTGGGTCGGGTCGGGTAGGCTGGGTTTGGGTTGGGTTGGGTTGGGCGCAAATCCTTTAAGGATGGATTGGTGCCACCGACAACACGGCGGCTACTGTGGATCCTGTTGTGGCCCTTTCCATGGGTCTGCTAGCTAGCTCGTTTTAAAGAGCAGTGCTCGTCTGAAGTTATCGCCTGCCTTGTGTTGACAGCATGCACTGGGCCTATTTTGGTACCTTGCACCACCCAGAAGGCAGGAGGCCCTGTCTTTCATCTAGCCACATGCACCTCACAGCCTAGCTAGTAGAATAGGTTGCATGAGTGGCAACCGTAGCAACCGCAATAGCTGGCTCCCAGTACGGTGTTTGGAAACGATGAAAAGACATTTTTGCTGCAAATACACGATGCCCCAGGCAGGCAGAAGCTATTGTGATCAAGCTAGCTAGCTAGTGGCAACCTGTCTTACAGTATAGTTGATGGGTTTTCAAGTACCTCAAGCTCACGACGGGTTTTGTTTTATTATTTTAATACGGTAGAAGACATGTAGGCACTATAATACTATCCATGTTATGACTATCATATGTACTGGTACACTTGTTCCAAATTGTGGCCGTATTGTGTATGAAAGGCCAACCTGATGTCCTTGCACCGAGTGGTGGTATAAGCGCGAGAGATTGGTTGGTGGAAGGTGAAACGTGATGGACAATGTGGGATGGCAGCGAGGAATGGATCTGTACAGACAGCGCTGGGATAACACATCAGGCAACCAAGATACTAATAGATGACCTTGTGTTGATCATGTATAGTCCGGATTGGAAGTACACAGGCCTTGCGCACATGCAATTCCTGCGACAACCACAGCTCCAATCACAAAGAATAGCAGCACCACGACATTGCAACATATCCAAGCGCCGTACTCGCTGGTGGGGTAGCAACATAATAGGACTAGTGTGGAAGTAGTGCTTGCTCCATCATCGTCCCTCTGCTGAATGGATGGATCGATATCCGAATTCTGGGTGTCGCCACTATCCGCAGAGCTACCCTTCTTTCCATGCGACGTATCCAGGTAGCATCTTTCGTCGGATCCTGCGGTAGACGAAGAGTCATCTGGATCCTCAATCCTGTCTGATATCATGTCGTCTGCAGTGGTCATTTCCCTGTGCAACATGATGATGCAAGGTGTGCTTGTAGTGGGGTCCTCTTCTACATGGACTTGAGGGGAATCTGTGGAGTTCATGATGTTGTTGTTCATGGTTGTCAATACTGAGTGACAAACAAGATAGATATAGTCGCTGAAGAGAAGTAAACAAACTGGAGGTAAATGGATTAGTAAGTCCTTGCTATCTGTGCAGTCAGTATCTTTTATAGGCGGCGCGACTATGCATATGGCAAACAACGAAGCAACAAGGACTGCACGTGATAGGATGATCAGCTCCTGATCCCAGCTGCCCAGCTGCCAATTCCCAATGCCGCCAGAGATGATAAACCTTGCCTTTCCGTTCGTCATAATGCAAAAGAAGTGTGTTGAAGTAGAGGTTGAAGTAGTTGCAGTTGCCAGTCACCTGTTCCCCAAGGCATTTACGGAACTATAAATAACTTTGGTTTGACAACTGTGATGTTCTCTCAGACACGGAAACGACTTCGGGAAAGACAAACTGATTTTTATCACGGCACGCGCACGAAAAACAAAAGCATTTCAGTAAAATAGAACAAATTTGAACGATACTTAGACGACATATTCCAGTAAATAACTCGTTTTCATCAACATTTTTCACTTTGGACGATAGCTGGACGATGTTGGGATACCTGGGACCAAAATGTCTGAGTTGCTGTTTGGAAGGGAACCTTTCCTGTCTGGATTCAAATCCAGATGTCACATCATAGTACGAGTTTGGATATAATTGGCCAAAACAAATGAGATCCGAAAACGTTCATTGGGGAATTCGTACCGTAGCTACATGTACTCTCTTTCAGGTTCAAATTTATTTGGAAGCTGGTTCGGAAAAGTACAAGCGCTCTCGGTACAGCGTACATACATGTACTCGGAGTAGTGCAATCTTCTTTGAAGGACTTGATTTTCGTTCAGGAGCTACGAAAGCCAATTCTTCCTGAATCCGTAGTGGGTGTACTGTAAATGTTTTAGTATCTCGAGTGCACCAGCAGAAAAATAGCAAGGTGAGTGTGGGGCTACAGAAACTGGGAGGAACCGGTGAGCTACCCGGTGGCACCAGCTTGGCAACCGTTGCCACTCTGGACGGGCAATTCAGCTCAATTCCCAGAGGAACATCAGGGAACTGCTGACTGTCACTCGACTCCGCGCCAGGACACACTTCCAAAACTACCACACCGGGTCCTTCCATCGTCCTCAAGCGCCACTCCCAGAGCAAGAACACGAGGACCCTCACCACCCCAGAACCGATTGGCACTCACCCGGATTCACTCCCGGCCCAACTCCAGCCAGAGCCTACCGATGCCGGTACTCCAGGTCGTTCTTACCGTAGCTATTCCCCGCCCATCGTCAAGCCCCACTCCCAGAGCAAAACCAGGACCTCCACCAGGAGGATCCACTTGAGGTTCACTCCACTACAGTCGTACCCGCACTGCAGGAATGCGACAGTCGGCACGAAACTAACGATAGATTCTCCGCTACCAGACAGATCATTTAGAAAACGCCACCGCGCTCAAGGCGTTCTTGGTATCGCCAGAAAAACTCCTTCGGGGGCAATGCAATTACTAAGTTAACGTGGTAGCGCCACTGGCCTCATCAACCAATAGACATAGTATAGAGCCACCGCAGCCACCAAACCAGTCCAGGCCCAGGTTCTTCCATAGGTTTTCCAATAATGCTGTTTCGAGACGACGAGCGCGTCCCAGAAGGATCGCCTTTTGAGTTTGCCAGTGGAAACAGAATCCACCCTCTTGAGTTTGCCAGTGGAAACAGAATCCACCTTCTTGTCCTTTTCTTCTCTCATCCTTTCCTTGTCCGCGTCGCTGATTGGATTTTTGGCGACCAGGCGTCCTCTGCGGATGGTCCTGAGGCGCTGCATTTCTGCCTTGATATCGACCTTGCTGGCCCCTTGACGCTTCAAAACTTCAATCCGTTCCATCGCATCCTTGAGGCCGCGACCAGCGATGTCGCGGTCTGGTTCCTCTAACTCTCGAGCCAACTCGGACCACATATTTTTCGTTGTTTGGAGGGGAGAAACATCGCAGTACGGGAAGGAATGGGAAAGCACTTGATGTAACTGCGCCATAATGCTATCAAGGCAACCCATCAACCCGAAGTCGCCCTCTCGCGTGGTAAACATGACGACGGGCAAGGGATGCGGCCCCATTGCCTTGACCACTAGCCACCCTTCGGAATACCCACGCTTAATCTTTTCTGTCATGGCCAAAGAGATCGTGGCTCTCTGGTCCAACGGCTGTTCGCAAATTTCTTTGACAAACTCGGTGGCTCGTAGGACCCAATCATCCGTAAGGACAGAGGGAGAGATTCGATGGTTCAACAACTCGCCATTTTCGTTTTGACTCAAAATAGCATGCCTCGTCTCCTCCATGAATTTCTCAGTCACACGGTCAACATTTTCTTTCTGAAACGCAGCGAATTCTTCCTTGGTCATGTTCTCGGCCTGAGCTGTCAAGGGGTCCGCCATGCGGGGGCCGGTGGTGACACGGGCATTGCCAAAGGACGAACTCTCATAGTAGAGGTAACACCCGGTTGTGGCGCCAGACGGGGAGGCATCATCGCAATCTCCGGTCGCGTGATTGCTGCGGCCGAAGTGGCTCTGCGAAAACACAGAGCGGTTCTGAGTAAGCGTTGCTGCCATGGTTGTTGTGGTGGTCGTCTGCGATTGTGTTGAATATGCTGCTGTCTTGAATTCTTGCTGTCCTGTGTGTACTCTTGTGCTGATGTTGCGCTGCGCGGGCCAGCCGTGCGAAGGAAAGATCCAAACGTGCTTTCCCCTCAAAGAGCCGGTTGCTGTTTGACGTGAATGTGAATCACGCTACTACCGGTAACGGTGTAACGGTACCGGTACCAGTACGCGCACTGCAGCACCCCTACATCATGTACCACCAGGTAAATAAACTCAATACAAGATCTTTATAAGTCACCACCACACACACACAAGAAAACCACACACACACAAGAAAACCACACACCGATACACTCCAAATTCAATAAAATGGACAAGATCACCGAGACCAGGAGGTACAGGATTCGGACGGAATAACCATACCGGTATGCCGTAGACCCCGTTGTCTACGAACTGCGGATAGGATAACCAACACCATAGCGCGCTGGGACGCCTACTCCCAAGTACATATAAAAGATTTTAGTTGATTATAAAAATACTGTATCTAGTGGTTTCCTATGCATTCGTGATGTTTATAGCCTCGACGGCTCTAGCTCTCTCCACATCCTCAAAATGCTACCTTGCGACGTCCATCTCTTTCCCGTGCCACATCAGACTGCATCTTGTACAATGTGTCATAAGTGAATCCCAAACCAACATCACGCCTTTCGATCGGGCTTCCGTTGAAAGACGTTGCTGTTCCTCCTTCGCCTGTGGCCGCAGCATCCGCAGGACTGATGGTCTTGCACTTGGGGCACACAATGAATTTGACATCCGCTATGCAGAAAAGATCAGTACTACACGCGACGCATACACAAGGCGCATAGAAATCTCGAGCGATTGCATCCATGGTTTCTTTGGTCCTGCGAAGACGTGCCTTCGTACCAAACCCAATGTCAATGTGAACTTCGCGCTCTGGTGCCTCGTCCTTGCCGTCAGAACTGGCAGCAGACGCAAAAGGAGAAACACCGGAAGGACGCTCGTTGCCTTGACCGTCCTCTGCGTGTCTTGATCCATAGTCGTCCTCGCCATACCCTCTCCGTCCCTCATACCTCCTGTCCTCATGTTGCCTTGGATACTCCTCACGACGACTGTGCCTGCTACCCGCGTAGCGATCATCTCTTCGCCTATCCTCAGAATAATCTTCGGGTCTC